GTTAAATTTGGGCGTATTGGTGAAATACTTTGTTGTGTAGTTGTTGTGTGTACAATTTCTTCATTTATGAAGTGTGATGGTGTCTGGATATCTTGTTGAGTAAGATTCCTAGTTCCATTGAGGTTTTCATTGTGTATAACTGTAGAATTTAAACTATTATTTTGTGTATCGGGCAAAAATGTATTATAGTTTAATGGTGTTGCATCAATGGTTAATGGTATTACTTTTACATAATCTCTTATGTAAGATATCGTACTTATTGCTTGACTTGAGATTGATTGTGGGAAGCTTATAAATGCTGGATGAGACCATTCGGGGTCCCAAACATAATCTGATTGTTCTGTGATAGCGGTATCATCGTTCGAGTTTTGGGGTCTAAAATTTTTTCTTGCTTGTGCAATTAAATCAATATTGTGTGTGAAATAATCTATTATGAACCATGCCAAAATTTTTTGTAGATCGTGTTTTGTATGTTGTGAAACGTCGTCTTTCGTGAAATTTTCTTTAATGATGTTTAAATAACTAGAGAGTAGTGTGATTTCATGTCGTACTTTCAAATGTTTAGATGTTTCTGTCGGTGAGACATTTGTTATTGGGATTTCGTTTTCTAATATCGAAATATAACTATATATTATTGCGAAAACTTCATTGGTGAATATGGAGTTTGCTCTTTGTGAGTTATGATATTGGATGCTTTTTATATATTCTGAAAAAACTTTTGAAAATTCTAAATCAAGGTCGTCTGTTTGAATTGTATATTTTCTATTATTATGGTTTGGTGAGGTGAATTCTATGGAGTAGATTCCATACTGTTGTGTTATGTTGCATATATCTTTTAAGTAGTGGTCTATGATTTGTCTTTTGATTTTTACATCGGGGAACTCTGTTTTACATGGACTGATTCCGGGTTCAAATAAATTTACGAGTAAATTTTGACAAAATATGTGTTGTCCTCTATCAGTATCTGCATCTACTATAAAAGGAAAGATTTCATCATCATCTGGAGTTTCGTCACCTGGGGTGTGCGTTGAACTCATTTTTTCGTTCGATGACTGTTAATATGTAATTATTAATGTGTCGAATTGGTTGATTCCAATTGTATAAATGTACTGGTTTGTGTTTGTACTGCTTTTTTATTCTTCTTTTTCCTCTCTTTGATGAATTTGAAGTTGTTTCTGAGTCAGAAAAATATAATTGATCGTGAAGTGGGTAATTTTTATCTATTGATTCTTTTAGTTTGTAAAGTTCGTCTAAACTGTTGGTTTCTGATTCTGAAAATGCGTTTCGATTTTTTGAAAATCTTTTTCGTGTTATTTGTCTTTGTTTCGTTATTATTTTTCTTTTTAGTGTTTGTCGTTTTGTTCGAATGTATCCAACTGTTTGTGTATGAGGTGTGATTACAAGGTCGTATTTTTTGTTATCTATTTCACAATTGTGTAAAACGATTGTTTGTTTATTTCCTAGGTTTTTAAATGACATAAGGTTTAGGATGACGGATGCAAAAGGTTGTTAAATGATTTCTATTTTCTTAAACTGTTAGTTCTTACGATTTTTTGGTTAGCTTAACCTGGGTATATTTGTTCAGGGTTGGAGAGAAAAGTATATCGATTCCGAAGAATGATTTTTTACTTTCTCGTGGCTAGTATAAGTTAAGGTGTTAACTTACTTAATCTTACTTAGGGGTAGTGATTGTGTTCAAGGGTTGGAGAATAGTAAATCGATCCACAAGGTTCAGGTATAATTAGAACGCGAGTAGTTCGTTAGGTACTATTTTAAACTTACTAAGTCTAAGATTTATCCTGGGTCTGGTAAGAGGGGGGGTCAAGTGAAGGATGAATAACCGAAGTTCTTCACTATTTATCCTAATTTGAATGATTAGTTTTGTTTAAAAATTTCTATTAGTCTTGGGTCTTTAGAAAGGGTTGGGTAGTGAATCGACGTTTGAGGTCGTTAGACACTAATTAAGTGGGTGGGGGAGAACAAAATTGTTCTGTTTGATCCAAGGATAAGCCTTGATGATCAAATTTGAAATTTAATTAAGTAGAAAATGATTTAAGATCCAAGGATAAGCCTTGATGATCTGGTTTTAAAATTAAGTGAATTTAAGTTTTAATAAATTTTTAAATGTGTGTAAAGGAAAGATTTAGTGTTTTGATGATGTTAGTGGGTTTATGATTGCTGTTATGTTTTAGATGATGGAGCTGGAACAACAGGATGATTTATGATTATTAACCATTTATTGTCATGCTACTAATTTTTATTTTTTATTTTCCAATAAATATTTTTCAAACATGTTTTGTATATTACTGCAGAATTTTAGGAAAACGATCTTAGATCTTTTTATCAATCGTTATTGTATATTAATAATTTTGTTTAGCGCCTGAAATGATTTTGAAGATTAACTTCAAGGTTTTATGTTTGCAAATGAAAATCTAAATTCATTGCTAGTAGTATTCTAAATATAAAAGTTTGTTCTGGTTTTTGCCTAACTATCATATAGCTATATGGCAAGTTTCTACTTTGTCGTATGTCGTCTCTGGTTCGAGGTCTTCTTCCAATTCCGGGTAGTTCTGTTATGGTTCGGAATATTGGCTCTGATCTATTGAGTCGTAGAGACATTTCGATTAAATTATTGTCGTATAACATTTTGTAAATGTTTTTGTCTAATTTCTAATCTATTTTGGTTAATTCTAAGCTATTAAGGTCTTGTTCGAGACTTATGGTCGCACCAGATGAGTTAGGACCGAGTTGGTTAACTCATAGAGTAATTTCGGATAGGGTACACCGTCTGCTCGTCACGCTATCTTATTTTCGGCCGGATAGATTCGTGCAACTTCTTAGTCTAATACCGATCCTAATCTTACTCTTATACTATCTAGTCTCAGGTTGTTTAACTAGTCTCTGCTAGGCTCAATAGATCTAGGGTATACTGGTTTATTGCGGCTGCTGAAGTGCTCGGGAGAGTCCAACTAATTTCTAAGTTAAATTCAAATCTCTCTGGTGCTGAAATTACAAGTAACTTCAGCACTTACAAATAAGTGGGTTGTTAGTTAGATGGATCATGATTGGTTAATATTAAATACTTTACATTGGTAAAATATCTAATTTATCCAATCATAAAATGTAGTTTAGATCAGGTTCCAGTAGTCTGTTATACTAAATGTAGCTCACATAAATCCGAACACCACTCCAACTTTTAACAGTCAGAGTAAAATTTAAAAAATAGTTAACAAGGTGCAAAAATGTTTCAATCTTAAAAACTTTAAAATTGTTGTGAGACGATTGCAGCAATGATGGAATTCAAAAATGAAGATTTGTCATACAACAAACTTTCAACCGTTTTCAAATGAATATTCGGTCAACAGACCAGAAAACAAACATACTTCGTGGCAAAATAGACATCATTTTTGAATTTTGCAGCTGCATAGTAAGAAATGAAACAAATAAACTGACCATCAGCGGAAACTAGTTTACGCGTTTTATCGGCAATGAAATCTTTGAAGTAGAGCTTTTCCTATTTAAGGATTTTATACAGGTTTCTCTCCATCTGTGCTTTTTAAAACTTTTGCTGAATTGCTTTGAAGTTTTGTTTGCATGCTAACGGAAATGGTCAAAAAAACTATTCATAACCAAGTTTTGTCAAAATGTTCCATTGTGCAGATAATATCTAAAATTGAGATCATCAAGCCTTGATTACAATGAGTGTGGACTTACAGTTTATTGTGAGAAGTCGCACCCACGTTGGTTTAAATATAATATCTCGTCGCAAACTAAACAAGCGTAAAAGTTCACTCAGAACAAAATTTTTCGCTTAATTGTTTCATTTTAAATTATTTTAGGTTAGGAAAAAAACTGTTTTTTTTTTCTCTATAAATAGTTTTTAAAACCTTTTTAAATATTTGACCGTAAAACTTGCTGGTAAAAGTAATTTTTCGAGTATAATAGAGCATACGTTATGATGCAGAAATGGCGCCCAACTATCCGCTCTTCGTAAAGATATTGACCGAATAGCCAAAATTTTTACTATTTTCTCTACACTGAGGCAATCTTTTACTTTCTTTTTGTTATGGAATCTTGACCAATAAGTCTTTAGTATGGTCCTACATTTGACCCGCTTTAAGCTTGTCTTCGAATACTTAAAAAAAATCTTACACCATTTTTTTCCGACGAAATCAAAAACCGAGGAAAAATCAAAGTTTGTACAAAACAGGTTTATTTGGTACAAAATGACTCTATTTATTGCCTAAAATCGAACTTATTTATACACTGATTTTGATTTGTTGTCGTAATATGATAGTCAAATGACCAATTGCTTAGATTGAAATATCTTCCGAAAAAATTAAATTTCAATTGAACTCCAGGTAATTTTTTTGTCAATAATAGGTAGGTATTTATTAACTCGCCTTCACAAAAAAGACAGCAGGCTTAATTGAAATCAAATAACTTGCATTATTTGAAGGGAACAATTATCCTTTTATAATTAATTGAAAATAAATTGGAGTTTTGTTTCACCAAATTTAGGAAGTTTAACTGACAGTTACGTTTGTGCGGTCATTTTTCGATATTTTGTACCCAAAATACATTTTGTACCCAAATAAGCAGAAAAAGTTGACTGAACAACTTGCTTTACCGTCCACAAGTTTATCGGTTTTTTCTAGACAACTTTTTTGAATCGTTATTTGACTTCATATCATTGAATATTTTTTAACAACCATTTTTGACTGATTAACTCCGCGAAGTGTGTTAATCTTTTGCAACATAATTTAAACCAACAAAAGTTTTATGACTTTATTTGGCTATATTGCAGACCAAACATAATTGGATTTCTGTAATTTCGTCAACCACAAAATTTTGAAGTTTTTCTCAAATAATTTGCGTTATTTTTGCATAAAACGCTGAAAAAAAATCATAAAACAATTGAATAACTTAGATGAGCATCGAAACGAAAAACGGTAAAGCACAACTAAAACTAAGATTCGATTTTAAATTTTGCACGGAGGATTCGGTTCTGAATCATAAGCTGAGCTATGTCCTCGGACTTGAATGGGTCGATTGCTCCGATCGTGCCGACTGTGCCCGGAAGAAGGGGGAGCAATGGGGGTAATGTGTACAGCGGGGGAGGGGTGCAGGAAGAGCCTAGTTTTACTATCCTCCTTCCGACTGTGCTCGGAACACTCGGTTGTCTTTCACAGGTAAGAAGAAGTAGCACTTAATCATAATACGCTGAATAATTGAAATCATACGTTAAATTAATATGTTAATAATACTTCGAAATCATAATTTTGGTCTTTTTTGTCGGTCAATTTTTTAAATTTAAGGCTTTTAAAGTTATAGGGGAGATGGTAATGAAATGGCTATCACGTTCACCTCTCAGTCAAAAATTTTGGGTTTCGAGGCTGACAAAAACATCATTTTTTTTAAAATCTTTTAATGCGAATAATTTTTATAGCAAACTGCTCTTCGTTGAATTGTCGTTTTTTGAAACGCTATCAATAGTCGCTTTGCGATCAGTTGTCGCTTCAGTCTTCAAAATCTCAGGTTTGTCCATGTGCCTGAGTTTTGTCAGGTGGTGATTATTCAGATCTCAGTAAACTTAGACATTCACGTCTCAGTCGAAAAATCGGATGTTCACAACTGACAAAAGTTTCGCTTTTTTGGTAATACCCCCCCCCCCTCAAAAAACAACATCACATTTTTCCATGTGCATGCGTTTTTTTCAGGTGGTGATGATTCTGATAGCGAGGGGTCTGCGAGGAGACTATTCTGCCAAGACGTTCCTCTGGTTCCTCTCAGTGGCTCAGATCCTCCAGCAACTCTCTCTCATCTACCTAGCTATATGCGGCTCAAGTAAGATCTACAGTTGGGATTTTTTCAGGAACTGATTAGGGGAGATTTCATTCGCTACCCAAAGGGTCCACCTTTGGTACTATTTTTACGACATTCATTTTTTGCCGACCAATCCTAGAATTTCTCGGCGCCACTACTCACTTAATTTGAGGAGGCAGCGTGCGCCAAAAAAAATCAATTTATGATCAAAACCTTTCAGAAAAATGGTTAACACGCTAGAATTTTGGCTAAAATACTGTCTTTTTTATGTTTTGAAAGAGCTCGAAAAATCATTTTCACCATCAGATGTCTAACATTCTGATATTTGTTTGATTTATGATATTTGATATTCTGAACTCATATCAAAACATTTCGATTATGAAACCCCCACAAGGTTTCATTAGTAAAATCAACAAAACTGCTCGTTTCAGGGCAAAGCCCTGAATGTTTGGACTGCCTTTTAAGGTTTATGGAGCGGTAATAACATTAAAAAATTAAATGTAATAAAATGAAATGATTTTTTTTTCTAAAATTTCAAATTTTTTTATGAAAATCATCCCCCACACGCCATATAAAAAAGAAAAGGATAGATTTCGCTCACTGCAACAAATCAATTATGGCAAATAAGCTTCTTTCAACCACCAACTTGGAAAGATTTCTAAGACGGATTACATCTCCGCTTACACGTTAATAGCGCGAAATATATCGCGCGTTAATTGTCCCAAATTGGCCAAAATGGCAACCTTTAAAACCCCATTTACCAAAAATGAAATATCTTTTCAAATTTAAGCTCAGGACAACAATACTTTTCCAATGATAAAAAAAATCCGTCAAAAATGGCTAGTTAAAAAGTCGAAATTTGTCTGAAGAAAAAAAAACCCACCCCGAGCACAAATAGTCCGTTACTTTCGTATCGAAAGTCGGATCAATTACAATAGATTTTTGTCGACTGAAATTTTGTCTTGATAACCAATTACTGAGCGGCAATTTAAGGCCTTGTAATGAAACGTTGGAACCTCGATAGAAACTGTCCGTATCTATTATACATTACGATGCCAAACTGTGCATTTTCTGAATTGCTGCGCAATCCGCAACATTTTTATTTGATCTTTTTGCTGTTCTGGATTCCACGGACAAATAGCTATAACACAGTTTTACTCGAAATCGCTCCCAAAAAAAGGCAATTTTGCTGAATCCGCACACCAAAATTTGTAGAATCCGCAACAAAATTTGTGGAATCCGCAACAGAATTTGCGGAATCCTGATCAGTTTCATATTTTGCGAAATCCGATTAAATTTGCGGAATCAATATCAACTAGTTATATTTTTTGTTACGGTACACGCGACAAAACCAATGTGCCGATAAATTTGACGTAACAGGTATTTGTCCGCGGAGTCCACCGAAATTTTGTAAATGAAATCCACTTACAGTTTGGAACATGTTTAAAGATACTTGTCTCTGGAATCCAGGAACATACAGACACAAAATTGTTCGCCTATCCAGTGAACAGTTTGGCCTCGTAATGTAACCATTTTTTATAATTAAAACGTGTCTATTTTTTTACGCATAATTAAAAAAAAACATAGTTTTTAATGCAAAACATTCTGTTTACATTAGCTGCTGCAACAACCAAAAATTTTAATGCCTCAATTCTTACCACAAACATATTGAAAAAAAAACTTGAAAACCAAGCTCTTTTCTTTTACGATCCCTGAAGAACGAAGACTGAAATATGAACTCAAAAAGTTAATACAAAATGTAATTCATTATAAAAGCGCGAATGCACTTGCATAACAAAAAAAGACGATAAAATTCCGCACTTATGAAAAAAGAAATTGAGTGAAACAGCAAAGTGATCATGAGTAAAATGATCATGAGACGAAGGAAAAAATACCTTTCGAAAAGAGATAAATAAATGATTATATTTCATTATGAACTACTAAAATGGATTACAAATGATAAAAATTAACAAAATTTCAAGCAAAAAATAAAGCAGAAAGGTTAAAAATAACCCTATTATCGATTAAAATGGATTTTATAGCATAGTAAAATTTTTTCAAAACAAACTTTGTTTGACAACATGGTTATCGTAATTTGTATACTGCCTGTGAGCGTATTATAGAAACTCTTAGTCAATCTAATTAACACAATTTAGGAGAATTCTAGGTTTGTTTGTTTGCATTGCAAAAAGTGAAATTTTCATTAGCCATTTTTTCCATGTCTACATGTATATCCACTGAGCCATTTCACATTTCCAAAAAAAACTTCCAGAAAGAGTTTTTCGCATAAAACTCGCAATAGATTTTGGTTGAAAAGCGCGTTTTGATGTTACTAAAACTCTTCTTACCTTCATATCAGAAGTAAGTCTCCTCCTTCCAGGCACGGACTTCTGTGTGTTGCGCGAGAACGACACTCAGTGCAAGATGTTGATCCAGCTGACGTGGTGGTTCTGGCTCATGCCAGACTGGCTCGCAGTTCCAGTCTCCCTCGACAGACTCAACGCCATCCTCAGTCCTGTCTGGCTAGTATCAATTTCAAGGTCAAATTACGTGAAAAGAAGAGAAAATTTATGGGTGGCTTCTTTGCAAAATTTGAACAAAAAAAAGCTCAACAATTGTTTCAAAAAATCAAACTGTGTCAAAAACGTGTGTTTTTGTCAAATATGTAAATAATTAGAAAAAAAAACACATTTTTGGCACAGTATAAATTTTTGAAACAGTTATTGGGATTTTTTTTCTTGCTCAATTTTTATGTAGCTCGAATAACTCTATTTTTGCAAAAAATCATCTGTACAGCAAATGATTTCTCAAGAAAACACCTTTTCCGATTTTTCTTAGATCTAAAAAAATCTTCTCTTGATCCTTAATTTCAAACAAATCTGCTCCATTTCTTTTTGCAGATGGGACTAAATATTTCATAATAATGGGGATTACAGTCCTCCCGAGAGTTTGCGCAAGAGCATCAAAAACTCTTCCACAGTGTCTTGAGAAAATTTGCTGAATTTTGAGCAAGCAATTTGTATTCTGCGTGAGTTTTGTGTGTTGTGTTTGTGTAATTATAGGTACAAGGAGAACTGCACTACTCGGAGTGCGTGGCTGGTGATAATACCGCTCGTCGTCCTCATAGGGGTCACCCTGTTCCCCATCTCTCTAATGGCCCAGTTGGTCCAGAACGGACAGTTCCGCATCTGCGTCACTTCAAATGGAAAAGTACCTCTTATCCATCCGGATATCTATCTCTAGTTTTTATATAATTTTTTTAATTATATAATTATTATATTATGCATCTTTGCACATCCTAAGCTAATGATGCAATTTTAACGTTCGGCATTGAAGGCCAATCTTGAGGCAACCTTGTTGGCACCAGTTAAACAGTAAGCAGCTTCGACTCAGACCAGGGGCGGATCTAGGATTTTCTCGAGAGGGGGCGGCGGATTTTCAAACATTTTTCGAAAATTTTGACGACCGTTTTTTTAGGTTGACCAAATTGATTCTTCGAGCTCTCCTAAAGCACTAAAAAGACACTGTTTTGGCCAAATTTTCTGCGCCGCAGGCAAGTTTTTGAAAAAAAAAACAGGTCAAGAAGCACTTTTTTCACTTTTTGCAAAATGTTGACAAAAAATCGCGTTTTTTTTTTGGCGCGCTCTCCGTCAAAGCTAGCGTATATTTGCGCCAAAGGCGCCTTTAGAAAAATTTTAGGGTCGGTCGGCCAAAAAGGGATTTCTTAAAATGTACCAAAGGGGGGACCAATTTACCAATGAGTGGGGGGGGGGGTATCAGACGAACGCTAGTTGTCGACGATTTATGATTATCAACGTAATAGACCTTATTTGAGATTCCTTGATTTCTTACTGAGAGCGATAATTAGATCCAGTTGGAACATAGTTATATTAAAAAGTCCTTGCGTTTCAATATTGTCCATACGACAACGGGCTGAGGCTGTGATTTTATGTCCAGACTTTTGCGATGAAATATGGTTTTTCGAGACTATCGCGACCCAGATTTGGTATTTCCGCTGTTTGGTTACAAAGAAACCTAAATTCTGTGACTATCGCAAACTATCTAAGGAAAATGAAGCATGCTTTGAAAATGCATATTGTCAAGAATTCTAAAACCTCATATGGAAAAGAAAATTATAATAAAATTTTAATGTTTCTTATGATTGTTTTATAATATTATTTTATTTCAAAGCATTCCCGCAGTTACAAAAATGGTTTCGGATCGATTTAAATTGATTTGAAATCGGTTTTAAATCGATCCAAATCGATTAACAATGTACATTTTACAAATTTAAATGGATGTTAAATTGATCTTTTTTGAAAATTTTGGATCGATTTAAGTGTCTAAAAACTCACTAAAATCCATCGGAAACTCACTCAAATCCATTTCATTTTAAATCAGTTTAAATGGATCTTCTTTGAAAATTTTTGATCGATTTAAGTGTGTCCACATAAATCAGATTTTAAGCTCGAAAATAGGAAATGAATTCATAGAAAATTTTTGTAACTGTGCTAAATTCTAGGAAATAAACAAGAAAAAGGTCAGAATAAATTAAAATTTGATATCATTAAAATGCAATTAAATCATAGAAAATTATGTGAACATAAATCAGGTTTTGAGCAAAAATTATAAAACGAATCAGAAAAAGGGTCAATACAGATCAGTTTCTTTCTTAGGATTTTATCGATATTTTGGTCTTTTTATTTGGTTTTTTATGCTACAATACGCTATGGATGTAAAATGAAAAGTGATAGACAATGAATAAATGCTATAAAAAATTGGAACTGATAAAAATCGAATGAAAAAAATTGCTTTAAATCGATTTACATCCGCTTTAACTCCCTTAAAAATAAAAACAAATAAAGACTAGAAAAAATGCATTTAACTCGAATTAAAATTGATTTGGATCAATTTTTTTAGCTGGGATTTGAGATCAATTTAAATCGATTTTAAATCGACCCAAATCAAACTTTATCTTTTAAATTTAATCTTCGTACTGTTTTCATACTAAAATGGATCTAAATTTAATCAACGTACCTTTTTCATAATAAAATTAATACTAATCCATTTTTGTCAGTGCGGGATGCAAAAAACTCCATTTTAATCGATAATAGGTTATTTTCAACCTTTATGTTTTTTTTCCAGACTAATTCTGAATACAGATTTCTGCTTTAATTTCTTACCAGTTTTCAGATTATGTCAAGTTTACTTACTTTCGCGACTGTTTTAAATTATGTTACGAATAACTTCAGGCTTTGCTACCAACTTTCAGACAATCTCTTCGTTTTTTCACTTAAATACCATAAAACCCTGTTCAGTGTTTTTTATTTTGAGACGCGTAATGGTTTTCGATGCGCTTTGAAACTCTTATGTATTTCGCGGATCTTGAAAAGAGCGATTGATTCAGACACATATTAAGCTAGGCATTCAGCGACTTTGCTAGGAAAAAGTGCAAAGTTATTTCTTTGCTTAAAAAATCTAAAAGAAACCCAAAAATACCTGTTTTTTTCCACCAAAACTTATGATTCGTTCATTCACATTAGATCTTTTTGTTTAAATGACAAGTTGTTGTAGATATCGATCTGTCGGAACAACTGGAAACCAATTGGTTAAGTTGCGGGAAAACCGAAACTTCTTCAGCAGTCATATTTTGTACTAACCATTGTCGAATGAAATATCAATGTTTTCTCGTTTTTCTCACAAATAGCCAATCAGCATTTTTTGGCGAAAAATGCAAAAGTCTTGAGTGCTTCAGAAACTGTTTTTTTTAATGAAGACTGCTCCAGCAAAAAACATGCAATGAGGCTTCTCCCAACTCGTAAGCTTCATTAGTTCAAACCGTTTGAAAATCAAAATGGTCCGAATGCCAATGAAAGAATTCGAACTCAGAGAAGAAACATTAAATTTGTATGCAAACGGACTTCTACATTGGGCCCGTGTCGAGGTCCCAGACTCATGTTCAGACTTTAAGGGTCGCGTCACATCCGGATTTAGACCCAAATTGCATAGTTGTACCGAGAGTCTGGAAAGTCTGGACAAGAGTCGCGTCGTGGGCTGTGAAAGTCTAAAAATTTGGTCGCGAAATGATTCTTGGTCGAGCCGTCTCTGCCTCGGTCTGGAAAGTCGCGCCGTCTCCACCTCGGTCACGAAAGTCTTGAAAGTGGACTTTTTGGTCGTGCTGGCCAGGCCGGTCGCGCCGTTGCTTTTTGAGTCGCGCCGTCTTCATGTTGGTCTGGAAAGTTGCGCCGTCTCCATCTAGGTCTGGAAAGTCTGGAAATGGCTAAGTTTGGTCGCGCCGGTCACGCCATTTCCTGAGCCGCAGGATCGCGCCGTATCCGCAATCGGTTGCGCCCTAGTTTTTCGGTCGCGAAAGTCTGGAAATGGCAACTCCTGGTCGCGAGAGTCTGGCCATACTAAATATGAGTCGCGATGTTTTGGTCGCGCCACCTCCGCTTTGGTCGCGATAGTCGCGACGGATCATCTTGGTCGCAAAAGTCTAGAAAAGCCCCAGGTTTTGGTCGCCAAAGTCTGGACATGCCTAATTTTGGTCTGGAAAGTCTGGGCATGCCAAAATTTTGTCGCGAAAGTCTGGACATGAGTCTGGGACTTCGACCCGGGGTTCATCTAGGATAGCGGACTCAACTGTAGCGATTAAATGAAAAACGTTGAGATAACCAATAAGACTGTCTGTACCTGAACTCAAATGGATAACTATCTAAAAAAAACAATGGGATAATTGAATATCACTTGGTTATCTAAATAACAATATGAATACGACTGCAATCTTTCAACATCAAAAGAGAGAGTGTTGTTAGCACAAGTGAGTTATTCACATAAAAAGGCAATACTTTCATTGCAGTAATAGCTTAGACAGTTCAGATCGTAATATGACCTTCAATTTGGATACTAAGCCGTTTATCATTTCGCCTTCTGACTTTTTTAAACCCAAGTTTAAATGCAATTAATATCCACAAAGTAATTTCAAATTTCAAATTTATAAGTTTTGTTTTAAATTTCCATCAGCCTTGATTTCCTTTTATTGGCACTTAATTGTGTTTTAGTATTATTTGTTGATTCGGTTTCTGACTCCTTGGTGATATTGTCGGGCTTGACGATAATGCTTCCAGTAATACTAGAATAAGTTTCTATCGGTATAACGACAACAAAACTTCTGGTTGAGCCAGTTCATTTGATGACCCTGGTAGCTCTTCTGACTCTACTGACTTTACGGCATGACGAAGTGCACTGCCAGAAAGTCGTGTCTGACGTTTGCTCCTATTTGAAGCCCTCGTCGTTGTTGTCGCTTCTTAGATCGGAATTTGCTCCGGAGTTTGAATCGACTTCCTTTTGGATTGGCTCGAAGTTGCCTCCTGAATCTGAACGCCTTCAGCGGGTATTTGCTCCCCCTCACGAATATCTTCGTCGTGCGCGGGTATCTCAAATTCATCCGTGTTAGACTGAACTGGTTTTGGCAACTTCGGTTCTGAAATTCTGCATTGCCTGTCTTGTCGTGTTCCTTGTACGTGGGGTTACTCGATGATTTTACTGGTGAAATACTTCTCGAACATTCTGGAATTCACTGCTTCGCCGGCGGTAACTCCTCAATTTCCTTCTCTGAAGAATTTTCCGACAATAAAGTTAGGTCGACAATCCGATTCTGCCCGCATATCGGACTGGGCGATATCGTCTTTGTTTTGGTTGCCTTAACTTTTGATGAACTCGGCCTCGACCAATATGCTTCGGCAATTATTCTCGGATTATTTGCTGGGGCTACCTCTGATAACTCCGATGACGCGCAGACCTTGGCAGTATGAAAACTGGCTTCCTCTTCTTTTGATTTGCCTTATGACTTGTGACTATGGCCTCTGCCTTTGTGAATGGGATATTTTTGTGCTCCACCGCCGCCGATAAAGGTTGTCCGGATTTGCTTTTGACGTGTTTAAAGCAGTCAGTTTACATTTAGGCGTTCTGGATTTTAAAGATACGTGATTCTTCCTAACCACCTTTCCCCTGTCTGTGAAAAACGTATGATCAGTAATTTTACTATTTTCCGCTTGAATAGGTTGAATAAAAGACGTCCTGGTTTCAGATTCAAATCATTTTTGAATACTGAAACTTTATGAGGATAATCTAAAAGTTCAAATTCCAATTTAGTTAAGCTCTTCGGACGACTTTCGTTATACGTCTGAAACCTTAGGGACCCTTGATTC